CTCTTAACACGACTATCCCCGGTCCTCTCACCAATTCGGTCGGTCACGGCCCTGGTGGATCTGTCCCTTGGAGTAGTACGTCCTCGAGATGGTCGATGCCCTTGGCGGACAACATCACTCCGAGCACTGCTTCGAGAAGATCTAGGTGTACTTTGGGTGGATATTCTTCGTCTGTTTGATGTGACTTGCCATCCGGACTGTGTAGTTCGGGTAGAGCGTATCCCGCCACTGTCTGCCGTGTCGCCAGGGGAAGATTGATTGACCTCCTCGACCGGCATAGCAGCGTTCTCATTGAAGGTAAACTGCGTGGTGCGCGAATCTCTGCTGCCGCCTTGCATCTTTGCGATGATGAGCCGATTGGTCCTTTGCGTCCTCAATCAATTGCTCAGACGGCCCGGCTACCAGCACGCAGGTACCACTCTCCCGGCGGGAGAAGTGAGCCCTACGGCTGATAACCTGTGAACAAATTGATCCTTGATCTGGATTATCCCTTTTGATTGTAGTACCGGTTGTGCTGGTAGTGCAGGGCAACGTCACTGCATGGCGTTCGGAGAACGGTCTTTTTCCTCGCGCATGACTTGAGCCAAATGATTGGCAGTCCATGCATCACTGACTACATGCTCAGCATGTGAAATGATTGTATTACCTAGTTCCCTTTCGCAACTTTATACCATAATATATATTGTAATATATATATATACTATATACTATATATTATAATATATATATATACTATGTGATATTATATATATACTATATACTATATATTATATTATATATACTATATGATAGTATATATAATATATCATGTGTTCCATACAGTAACAGTTTGTGATATTCAACTAACTAATATGAGATACTGTAATATGGCAACTAATATGGGATACTGTATTGATATTATTTCATGTTCATACCAATATCTCAGTCAAGCGGCAATCATACCCTATCAATATCAACAATATGGTGGTACAGTTATGGTAAAGTATGTTGTGTATATATATATATACACACCATCAGGATACTTCAGCGTAATGTACATATATATATATATGAATATATATGTATGTGCACAATGGGGCATCCAGCATTTCATCAACCAACAGAACAATGAATGTATATCATATATTATACATAATATTATATATATAATACATATAAAAATCAGTGGCCATGTCATAGATGGGTCCATAGATCGGTAGCTCAGAGCTCCCAGCCTTGCATGTAGCTTGGTGCAGGGCTAGGATGGCGGAATTGTACCATCGCCTGCCATGGTGTCGACCTAGTGACTGCGATGTATACCCCAGTTACCCTCCAGAAATTGAACATAGCTATGGAAAATGGCCTATATATAGATCATTTACCGATTAAAAATGGTGATTTTTGATAGCTATGTTAAATTACAACAGTGTACTAATCACTTAATTAATCTTAATCATCTTAATTCTGGCAACGATCCCAGGGATTGAAGGCCACCCTGTCGATGAATTTCGCAGTTCTAAGAGGTCGTAGTCAAGTTGCTGACCACTTGGTTGTCTCAAAAATGTTGGAAACCGAAAAACCCACTGGTTTAAATCATCATCAACACCTTGTTCCCTTTTGAAATTCAAAAATGGCCAGAAATGGTGGGAGACCGATACCATATCCATCCCATGCATGAACTCCATCCCAACCCGCCTGCGGAGAGCTGGGACATTGTGGCGAGTTGATGGGCGAGGGTGCACCGGGGGAAACCTGACAAGTTCAGATCGCTGGAGTAAGACTTTTTTGGGACCTTTTTGGGACCTTTTTGGGACCTCAAATCTGTGTCAATGGATTGGTTTAAGGGAAAATCTACAGGAAACCATAGATTTTCCCATTAAATATGGGGCTTTCCTGTAAATTTTCCCTTATACCAATCCATTGACTGTGTGCATCTCATTGAAATTACTGCCACAAGAAGCACCTGGCGGAAAGGCACCGTCGGCATCATTGGTTGCCCAAACGCAAAGGATGGCGCCTGATTTTTGAGACAGCACGCACGAGTTGGGCGTCACTTGGCCATGGGTCAAAACCCATGATATCCCCTTCTGTTCACATCAAAATAGCTGGGATTTATGGATGTTTATCCCCCAAATATGATAGTAATAGGTTTTGACCTATCCCCATACAGTATATGCATCATAGGCTTTAACCAATCCCCACCTCACCACAAGGTTTTTGGTCAACGCTCCCAACCATCTGCCAGCAGCGACCTGCGTCGCAACCTTCGCTGGACCAGCCACCTGAGGGAGCCCAGGCACCGTCACCATGGCATTGTTGAGAAAGTGGAGCAAATCATGGGGAGAAGCCCTGCAAAAATGGAAGCCACTGAGTTTCAATGGATTCTAAAATTCTAAGATCAAGTTGGGTTGGGCAGGTGATCCAACTTCCACATCTGGGACTGAGCTTCGAACTGGAGGCGAAAGGGGTCGCTGTGCCTTTCAAAAAGAGTCTGTGAATGGTAAGATGACAGACTGGTGGAAGTGGAGGTCTAGAAGTTCAATATCAGGTGGATCGAATCCTCAGGTGATGCCATGATATGGGTCATGTTGCCAAATGATAATTACTCACATCTTCAGAATGTTGCTTCCCAGGGAGCATGATAAAATTTGATGCCCAGGTCCGATCTGTTGGAGATCTGCGGTGAACCATCACTCAGGTGTTTTGGTTCAAAACAAACTACTAGTATATAATTAACTATAGTGTGTGTATATATAATTAACTATAGCATATATATATGCAGATTTTAGAATGTCCCCTTTCTTCGATGGCACTTTTCATGTGTTTATGATATTTTAAAGGCCGGGTATCCCAGACATTTTTCACACCAAAATGTGGCTCCGTTCCACCAGGGCTCCGTTCCACCATGGGCACCGGTGAAGCCATTCTCGCCTGGCAAAAATGGAGAAAACTCACGGATCGAAGCAACAAAAATGTTTTTTTTGTTAACCGCCAACAATAAGGATGTCACATGTCTTTGTTTACTTCTTATGATGACCAACCAAACAAACATAAACAAACTATTGTAACTATTGCTGTTTATAAGATTTTATAAGGCCTGGCACGTTGGTGCCAGTTGTTGGTTTAGTGAATTCAATGGTTTATGGATGTCTTGTGGTAGATATATCTATATTTCATGAAGGGATATCTCTACTTAATGATACTAAATGGTTGTACACTTAATGGAGTTTATAAACCTACAAACATAACTGGGGGGGGCCACCACCTTGTAGACATGTGTGAATGCTGGTCTTCCAATTGGGGGGATATAACCCTGAGTTTAACATAGTCCTATTGGGAGAAGATGACCAACAGTCATGGTGAACAGAATCATGAATCATGTGCAATTTCATTTTTGACTAGTGAATGTTGGGGATATATCCCCCCAACGTTTATTGGTGATAGCTATACGGTGCTTTGTCCCCTCTGGATTTGTGAAGTTAAAACCATTCCATCCCATCTCTGGGTCCATTTGCTTGGCAAATTTCAAGATCCGCGGCCACAAATGGATTTGTCATGATTTGCCATGTCTGTGACTACAATTATGAACTCTACTGTCCCCAAAAATGAACACATATAGCTCTATCACTCGCGTATTATATTCATATATGAGCGATTGTGAAAACCCTAGGTTCACGGAAAGGACATCCACAAATTTGGGAAGGTCCCATCGCTTACCACACGTTTGTACAATAATGATATATGGTAAACTTGGGGGGTATCGCTTGCAGGAAACTGCTGCATTTATATATATATATGTGATGAACTATGAATAATATGTCTAATATGTGATATTTGGGTATCGCTAATGTGGATATTAGAGAAATATGATGACATAACCTTGAAAAGGGGTATCGCTAATTTGGGAAGGTCCCATCGCTTACCTCGTGTTTTGAACAATTTCCATCAATTTCCATAAACCAATGTCCGTCGAATACATATTTAGTATTGCCGGGGTTTTTACGGTTGCTCATATAAGTATACAGTGTGTATATATATATATATATGTGTGTGTAGCTCTATCTATCTTGCATGTTTTTATTTCTAGCTATATCATGCTATATCTAGATATGTTCATGGCCATGTTTATCTTTAAACTTTCGACGTCGATGTTTCGGCCTGTGGAGACACTGCCCGTTGGAGTGGACTCGTGGCCACCCGAAAGGTGCCGACTCCGGCGCCGGCGGCTCCGGCCTTGGTTTTTTCGTTGAAAAATCCCCGAGATGATGATGGGAAGATTGGGAAGATTGGGGGGAAGTGATTGGGATGGTTTATATATGTTTATTAATTGGAGACAGCACCACAAAAATAAAGCTACTTCGATGAAGTTGTCTGAGGCTGAAATGGCACACAAATTCATATCATGGTTTTTTCAACCTATGTTTGTCCATCCCGTTTATCCAGATTAAGAAACTAGAGCCCATGGTTCGGTCTCATCGTTCGGTCTGATTGTCTGCTGAGCTTTGCACAACAAAGCTGCTGGGGGGAGCCACTGCCTGACGCACAGCGATGCCGACTTAGATGTGTTTTGCATCCATCTTTGATCGCCATTCACAAGAACAAATCAACGTCAATTATTTCATTGCTGCTAGCATTAGTGTTCCATCAATTAATTAGGCCTATAGTCCTAATCATGATATAAGAATAAATAAATAGATGCCTTCCAGGACCAAGTGCTCCATTGCGATGAACTGGGAAAGGCTTGTCCATGGTCTCTGATCATCTCTGATCATTGTGGATTTCCTCTATGTCTCTACAATCAGAATGTGGAGAACTAAGAGTGTTGATGAGAATGGTCCTATCATGTGTCGGCGTCTTCATGGCGCAGCGCGTTTCGCAGCATTTGTTTACTCTTCCAAAAATGGGCTTCCCCTAAAACCCAGTCAAATCCACCATAAAATGGCTGAGTCAGAACCGAAATTGAAGGTCTTCAGTTGAAAAGACAAACTTGGCCCAAAAAACTGGCTGCCCTTCAAGTTCCATCAAAATTCAGCCCAAAGTTGGTGACACAATACTGGCTGAAAATGTGGCATAGGCACCACCAACAACCATGAAATCGAAAACTCGGCCTGCCATTGTGCTTGCACACCTTGCGGATGTTCCAAGGGCCACTTCGGCAAGCGCGGGTCTGGTCTCGGGGATGTCCTCAGGGTGACGGATCCTATGGATAAATCAGGGTTATAGCATGTTATATATAATTAGCGTGATAGACCCCTGTACTCTTTGGTAAATTAAAAGAGTATACTATGGAAAAGCACTCTCAAAATAATAGGTAAATCATCTACAATTGGGCCATTTTCCATCGCTATACTGGAGAGTAAATCAAACGTATTCCAACATTTGAATTTGCTGTGTGGGAAACAACTGCCATTACTTATTCAATAAGCTCTTTAAGGTTGCAGGAAAGATTGTGATCTTTCTGCCATGGGGATATCACCAGCAAGAATCCATGGCCGGTCATGTCGTTTCGAATGTTCAGTTGGCTGTGGGATGAAATCCTCAAACCCCAGGGACGACAAACTTTGGTCATTTTATGCACTGCAATTTTCGCGATTGTAATGAATCCAAACATGAACTCCAATTTTGTGAGGTTCACCATACTATATACACACTACACCAAAAAAGAACCTGTTAAAATTTGGTGCAATCAATTATGCTAGTCTACTTCATTTTACCACTTTCACTTTGGGTTTTTCCCCCTCGACAGTGCATTTGACTCACTGGGGGCGGCAAATTCCCCACCTGGGAGACGCTCGTGGAGGCTGCGACCTCAGCTGATCAGTGATTTGGGTCCGAAGTCATCCTGGGTACAGGATCTTTTTCAATGGGCTATACCATGCTATACCCCACTTTAGTCATAGTGTGGCCAGGTGTACAAAACTGGTGAACATATTACCTTGCACCAAGGTACTGCGGCAGCAAGCCCTGCAGTGAACTGTCAGAGGGCACCAGCGCCTGGCTTAAGCAGATCTTCATTGGATTCAAAGGGAAAATCTAATGTACATGAAATTCTTGTCCAGTGAAATGTATGGTGGTTTCCTGACGATTTTCCCGTAAATCAATCCAATGATGCCAATGATATTCAAATAGCTTTGTTCATGGGTTGGTTTGTAGGACTTTTTTGCAGGAAGCTCTGGTTTCACTTCAAACAATGAAGGCTCTTCGTGTCAATGTTCCGTTCATCCGATTCTGGGACTGATTGCTTTCAGGAAGATCTTCGCCCAACAAAAAACACATTGAATTGGATGGGGTCAATTTTTATTGCAAAATCAAGCCGCAAAATTGGTCATGTTCAGTATATTATACCCTCTGGTAAACTAACATAACTATGGAAAATCACCATTTTCAATGGGTAAGTCCACTATAAATGGCCATTTTCAATAGCTATGTTAAATTACCAGAGGGTATCATTGATTGTCATTCATTTTGGCCGTCCAAGTAGCTTGACCCATACTCATCTGGGTAGACCTTGAAAGTCAACGGATTACTTTTGCTCGCTACGAAGGAGCACAATGTGACAATGTTGACGAGGACATATAACAACCATGCACGCAAAAAAAAATACAGATCAACTGCACACAATATACACAAGTAACATCCAAGAATAAATCCTGCAATAAATACCCACAAATAGAATTACATAACTGAAATAACATTCCAAGTTCCCATGCTACGATTTTGGAAATCAGACCGACATTCCAAGTTCAGTCCATCACTATATTCAAAATTGAAAAAACCATCTCATCGCAATAAATACCTGTAATAAAACTATGTGATCTTATATATATATATATCTTATGTGTATATATACATTATAATTAGTAATTATATATATCTCAGATATATTGTATCTTATTGTAGATATATATATATACAGTTTACATATTGTTAATTATATATATATATATATTGTATGTGGAAATAACAGATCAACTGTACAACTTGCCACTAGCCAGGCCAGGATAGGCCAGGTGCCACCTCCGGCAGAGTCGGCACTGCCAAGCAAGGCGCCTGCAGCGCAAAGGGGGAAAAAAACACCTGGTTTTATAGTTGGAATAGTGGTTTTACGTGATTTATGATGTTTTATGATGTTTTATGATGTTTTATGATGTTTTATGATGTTTTATGTGGTTTTATGTGGTTTTATATGGTTTTATATTGTTTTATATAGTTTTATGTGTCTTATGATGTAAAACCATCGGAGAAAAAAAACTGGTCTGCATCAAGAACTAGAATATGTGCCAGGTTCATCCAATTTCTGTTTGAAAAGACTGTTGCTGCTCAAGATCCTTCAAAATTGGACGGCTTGATGCAAAACATGACCAGGAAATTGGTGGGGTCATTAGTACTCGATGTGGAACCATCCCCATCTTAAAACCACCACATTTTGATGTCCTTCAAGCTATGCGCCAGTCCCCGGGTATAATATTAATAATATATAACATTATAATATCAAAATATATTCATATATATATAAATATATGTATATATATATGACTACAGTATATCCCATAGGATTCATGGTGCTGCTATATATGGTGTGCCATGGATCCCATCATAGCCCAGTCATGTTGGTAGACCGGCACCATGGATCTTATGGGATGATCATCAGCACCTGCAAGCGGTGTGGCGCGCAAATGGACCTGAGGTCTGCCGGTGCCCAACTGCAAGCGAGAACGGGAAATCGGTTCAACCGTTAGCAACATTGAACAACATCAACCATAGGTAACCATCAGGGTCATCATGGGTTATCCACTTTAGTATACTTTAGTCTTCAGAATCTTGGACAGCTAAGTCTGCTAAGCTTTCAGCTTGTTAACAGCCAAGTTCATAGGATCATATAGCATCCCTCTTCAAGAGGTGTCACTTCAAACAATTTGGAACTGGAACATGCTATAATAAAGGAATCCTGTACGAATCCCACAGGAAGTTGAAGGAGTCCACACCACTGGCACTCCACACAATCAGTTCAATATCTGCAGAAGAAACAGGGAATGCCGAAGGAAACCTAGAAATGAGAAAACATACTAAAGAAACAAAAAATTGAAAACGGAAGAAAGCTAAGAAAAACTGAAAGAAACTAAACAAGACTAGAAAAACTACAAAAAGCTAAAAAGGGCAAAACAAATGCTAACAAAAACTAAACTAAACAACCTAAAAAAAACTAGAAAGAGCTAAACAAAAGCCTTAAAAAAGCTTAGAAAGGCTAAACAATGCCCACTTTTGGGCGGCCGAAGGGGCACTCCCTCCCAGAGCTTTTCCTCAGTCCGTTTAGCTTTATTTATTTTGGTTTTTTGAAGCTCCCAGCACCCTCGTCCAGTGAGTTGAAGAGGCAGGTCTCAAGAGCTGGAGGTTTTCCCAACACGATCGGAATCGACGAAGCTAAAAAATGGCTTTGGGAAATACTATAATGTTATAGTAAAGCAACACTAACCACCCATATCTGGATAGTTTATGCCACCCATTTCATGGCATTTTTGGGGATGTTTTACTATTGATTTACTAACATTGCCCCCAATACCAACGCAAACTCATCTGTTTTGCATATGGGTTTTACCGTTTTTCCATGGTGATGTTGGATCATTTTGGAGTATCCCCCATATTTTTCAACCACACCGGTTGAAGAAAGCTGAGTTCCGGAGCATTGTGCCCCCTTTTCAAGGGCTGAATGCCTGCACCTCCGTGAAGCTAAGCTTGAGCAGAAGACGGCAGCGAACATGCCCCAAGCTTCACGGTGTTGGAACGACATCAGTGCCGTTGATCATATGAATTTATATCAACAATGACAATATTAATTTGACATCCAGGGATTTTATATATCAATAATATGGATGTGTTATCATATTTTATCGATAATCATAACCTTGTGACTGACAAAGGAATTTATGGAGAAGCAAAATACTCATCGAATCTATAAATCTTTCAACACTTGTTTGGAGGATTGGATAGATTTGATGGTGAGTCTCTACACCAAAAGCGCTATAAAAAAGCATCAGAATGTCGAAGTCAGCTTGCCATGTCAGTGCCATCATCTTTCCCGTTTTTTTTTCTGGAAAAGCTGTGCTTCCAAACATCTTTTCACATTTTTTCACACAATGACTGATTGCCCTGATAAATGGGGTTTAGACAGACTGTAGTATTGCACAAGTCCAAAAACATCATCCACAGAAATTCTCTAAAAGGTTGTGGAAGCTTGGTTCCCGGCTGCTTTTATCTAAAATACTACCATGAGAGCACGAACAGCCATACCATAGATTACGTTAGATCAGATTCATGACTGTGATGCAAATGAAGATGGATTACAGCAATCTCTTGAAAGTTGGATCCTGATAAAACCAGAAGCGATTCAGCAACTTGGCCTTTCTGGGTCCGGAATTGAAAAGAAATGGAGATTGTCGGTATTTTTCTCAAAACGCATGTAACCATGCCTTTCAAAAATCATAGGCATTAGTAAAAACATACCCTGATATGTTTCGTTGAACCCGCAAAGTTTTACCTGGTAAACGTATGTTCATGCCCCCAAAAAAAAACGATTCATCATAGGTATTGACCCCATCCCCTGCGGATTGGCTCTTTTCGTTCCACCGAAACGTCCGTCGCTACTCACAGGTTTGTGCAGTGGAGGAGTCCCAACCCCGGCCGATGGGCAGCAGGTGATTGGTCCGCAACCTCGAGTCTTAGCAAACACCGGTGTGTCATGGTGTGTCCAAATGGAAGGATATGGAAGGAACCCCCAAATTGACATGTACTTGTGGCTTCGGGAAAATTGACCATAAGACATCATGTTTTGGGGGGAAATCACTATGAGCCACATCCAGAACTAACATGGCACACAAAACTTGTCATTTCTAACAGGAAAACCATCTTCCAGGCCCCATCGTCAGCAGGTCTTCGACGACTTCGCCAAATTTGGACCATTCCGGCAGACTTTCAACCACTGACATTCCCACATTGAGCACAACATTCTGGGTTATATGATGTTATATGTATAGATGATGAACACATCCTCTAATATCTTCTAATATCTTCTAATATCTTCTAATACAAATCTAATACAAATCTAATACAAATCTAATACAATAGAATATAGAAAAAATGGCAAAATCTGCATCCCTTGTAGTGCTCCCTACTGCTCCCATAACTGTCGTCGCAAGGAGCAGCACGGAAGAGCCGTCATCCAACACGACCTGGCCAGGCTGATGGCTTAGGGGCGTCAGCCTGTTGTAGCACAGCCTTTGACCAGCCACTGACACTTAAGATACTTACCCTCTGGTAAACTAACATAACTATGGAAAATCACCATGTTTAATGGGAAAATCCACTATTTCTATGGCCATTTTCCATAGCTATGTTAGTCATTACCAGAGGGTAAGCTTTGTTTTGATTCGGATCAAAATCTGCGCAAGATCAATGATGTTGGCACCTGCTGGCCTGAAACATCTTACCCTAAGATCCACAGGTTGATCAGGTGCCGGAGCCTTCCATCTTTCAATCTGTTCCACCCACCTTAGATCCCAGTGGTGAGGCTGCCAATCTGGGATTGTTAAACACGTGCCATTGTAAATAGATTAAATATCAAACCATGCTCTGGAATCAGAATCTTCAATAATTGTGTTCTTTGGTTGTACAGGTGGTGTTAGTGCATTCTAGGTGGAGCATTCTCTCAACATCTCACAACCATCGTAATGAAAGATTTGTCGCCCGGAAAGTTTCACTGTTTCTATACATTCAATGTGAGCAAAAGGCTAACGGTAAAATAAATACAAAAAAAAACAAGTGCCAGCGTCTTGAATGCAGGGCGTATCTTCAGTGTCTCCAGCGTCCTTTTTCCCCATGCCTCCGCTAATATGTCTACCAAAGGAATCCACATGGCTACAACATCTACAACTCCCCCAGAAAAGCAAATGGTTGATGATGGTGGAACATCCCCAAATGATATAATTCACCATTTCTGGCTAAGCCATTTTTCAGCACCCATATGCTCATGATGAATTCCACAGATTTTGATGATAACCCCCTGTTTTTGTGGCTAGCTCATTGATCTCATTGCCCTTCACCAAGATTGAATCCCAATTGTTGTTGCTAACCCCCCAAATCCTATCCATTTTTGCTGTTTCCTCCATTTAGAAACCCTCGGATCTCCCAGTTCTAAGCCTCCATTTCTAGATGTCCATTAAAACCTCCAAGTTTTCATGGGGATTGTCCCATAATCCCCATGATTTTCCCATGCGTTTCCCACCTTTTTCTACGGAAAACTCCCAGCCAAGCGTCTCCAGAGCCGAGCCCTTCGAACCGTTGCGCTCCTTCTGACGCTTCAAGTCCACAACCTGCGGAGCCCTGGTGAAAATATGTTACCCCTCCATGGTTATGGCATATGGGTCAAAATTACAGATCTGTTTCAACATAGAGTTAAGTCTATTTATAAAATTCACCATCCAATTATTGGGGATTATTGGGGTGCCCAATTTTGACCCATCCATTGATCAATCGTTAGTTTGTTAGTTTCCCCTGAATTGTTTTCTATTTGTGGATACCATGGGATACCATTTTCAGACCCCAGAATCGACCAAATATCATGGCTTGAGATCCCAAAGATACAAAATTGAAGCCAGATATGCTTATCACTGTCATCTATTATAACATATTAAATATACATATATGATTATCTATAGATATAGATATTATTTTTGGTATAAATGTTGAACCTCTCAGTTTTCGGTCGCATTGGATCCATGAACCATTGAAGGGTTTAAGTGTCTGCCAATTGTAGAAAAAACGCCAAGTTGGATGCTTGATCATCAAATTTCAATTTGAAACCATAGATTTGATATGATTTGATGGCCATTTGATGGCCATTTCTCCATTCTTGGATGACTGGTTGGGGGTAAACCTTCCATTTCAAGATCCAAACAACCAGGCCGTTTCTGCCATTTTTCAGAGGTGCACCGGCCTGGATCCGTGATCCTGGCTGCAACTGATAGCAAGGCTCACGGATGGTCTCCTCCTTAGGCAATGTGTGAGGCGAAGTCATTCCACCGGTCACCAGGTCGCCGTATACATGGACAATCCTAAGAGTCCTAAGAACCTTGGCCCTTGCACATCCAAACTCAGGGAGCATAGATCGTAAACGGTGTCATCTTCGAGCTATGTGTGGCTTTACGATGGCTTTATACTTCAAAAAGCACCAGTCACGAGTACCTTCTAGTGGCCAAATTTCAGTACAGGGACTACGCACGCGATGATATGTATCCTGGATCTTCAAATGCTCCAAAAAAAACGTCAAAGGCTAAGCTGTTGCATATTTGTTGCACGTGTTTTTACACCTTTCGGCCCCTGCGAGTGAGCATATGCGGGTCAGATATTGTCGTATGCAATTCACCAGAACTGTCAGTGCATTGCAAAACCATCAGAATGCACAGAAAAGCACGCACCAAAAAATAATCAAAAATGACTCAAAAACACTCCAAACATCTCCAAACAGACTCAAAATCGATCAAACGCACTCAAATCCAGAAAAGCGTCTGTTTATATCCGTGTGATTGTGTTTCAAAACATTTCAAAACCGTGTTTGTCCAGTTTAGATTGCTTCACGAAGACTTGAAAACAGTTTTTGTTCTGAGGATGCCACCCTTACTTGAAGAATGTATGAACATGTTACAAAAATAATCAAAAAAACAAATGTAAGTGTGCTCGAAAGTAAAACATTTTGCAATAGTAGAGGAACTTCCTGAAACAGCAGGGAAAAAACAAATGAAAATCCAGGTATATATAATTAATTAAAATTATACATTTATATGTACGTATGCCGGTTGTGCGTATGAGTATAAATATATATATATATGTGTGTGTGTGTGTGCATGCATATCATGTGTGCATAATATTATATAACATGTACAGTATATATAACTCATATATGTGGCCAAGGCACGACATTGGTGCCACACAGGCCATTCATCTGCCATTGCTGCTGCGAGCTGCTTGTTTTCACCCGGGCCGGGTGAGTCTTCCTGGCTTCGCCAGCGAAAGCCCGGCTGAGCTGGGGAATCTTGTGCCGATTTTTCCACTGGGTTTGATGGTTCTGATGTTTTTTTCCTGGAGATACCCTCTGGTAAATTAACAGTTTGACATAGTTTGACCCTGAAAATCACCAATTGTTAGAGGAAACTAATCTTCCAACCCCTATCTACCAGGGTCTATGTTAATTTACTGGAGGGTATGAGGTCAAGATGTGAATCTATGCCACATGGAAGTCAGCATATTTGGAGGAGCGCTGGTTGATCATTTGTTACTCCATTCCCACATCCCCCTTGCAATTCGGCCTCCGACCCTGACCCCTGAATCTTTAAGGGACCACTGGTAGCCTCTTAAAGAATGCGAACCAGGGCAAATTTCAGCCTTAAAGAATCTAACCCCAATGAACCAAGATTGCAACACAGTAGCCAGGTATGTCCCGTTAAAAAATTGGAGACCGTCAAACACACCAAGGGGTGCCCCTTTAAAGAATTGGATACCCGAGTTGAAGTCAAGCATGAAATGTTCTGAATATTTTTAAGATTTTATGGATACATATCATGTACATTCATGTACATGTTAAAGAGATATGTGGATGTGTATGATGATATATGAATATATATATGGTGCAGTTCCTAGAATCTTCCAAGGAAGGCCTCTTAAAGAATAGGAGACCGTCAAACAACAGGATTTCCTTAAAAAATAGAACTGTTTTTTTTTGCCGGCCAGGTATGTCCCTTAAAAAATACAGTTTTTTAAGGACATCATGTCCTGAACTTTTGAAGGAAAATTCCCAGGAGGATATTCCCACTAACAATATCCTGGCTACTCGTCGCGTTCATGCACACTCGTTTCTCGTTTCTTTGATCATACACAATTCACTCTACAGCTGTCGCTTGATCAGCGTCGGTTCTTTTGTCACCTGAAAAGGCATGGGGTCACAGGTGAGCACAGATAAAATCTTGAAGTGCGATCGATGGCAAGACTGATTGCGAGGCTGAAGCAAGTAAAACATCCGAACTGTCACCACAAGAGAGAGAGTCGCCGAGACACGTCAATCATCATGGTGTCACGAGCGGACATCAAATAAACAACTGACAAATCACAGAAATAAATCACTGAAAAGCCCCCAGTCTGCAATCGCAATCAACCTCACCCTTTCACAGGGCGGGTTTCTTTGGGTCGGGACAAATTGGATGCCTGGTGATCTCTTGAGCTAGTCACCAAAATGGCATACGGAAAAGAAGTTGATTGATCAATAGCAAATAAAATGACATGATGATCAAAGACATGAACAGACAAGTAACTCCCCTCTCCTGACCAACCAACCGTTAGATGGGACCTACTCGTCGCGTTCATGCACACTCGTTTCTCGTTTCTTTGATCATACACAATTCACTCTACAGCTGTCGCTTGATCAGCGTCGGTTCTTTTGTCACCTGAAAAGGCATGGGGTCACAGGTGAGCACAAATAAAATCTTGAAGTGCGATCGATGGCAAGACTGATTGTAAGGCTGAAGCAAGTAAAACATCCGAACTGTCACCACAAGAGAGAGAGTCGCCGAGACACGTCAATCATCATGGTGTCACGAGCGGACATCAAATAAACAACTGACAAATCACAGAAATAAATCACTGAGAAGCCCAGGCCCCTGCAGTCAGAACTTACCTATCGAAGCTCAAGAGCTCACCCGGCCAACATGCCTGAACGGTTTTTCAACCTGCCTTCTCTCCCGTGGAGAGATCGTCTCTAGAAGGCCAATCAGCTGGGTTGGAATCAGTTGAAACTCTGTCAATAAAAACTCGAACTCGCAATTCAAAAATTAAGTTCCAAAATACCGACACGAGCGTGCACAAGTCTGATTTGCTGGAGTATCCTTTAACAAGAGCGGACTCCACAGCTTCAGAGTCGATCAGCAAAATCAAGTCAGTGCCAAACAAACGCTCGCGAAAGGTGTGTAAAGCTAAAATAGGAGCAATCATTTCAACAGGAACAATTTGGGTCTTCCTGGGAGCCCAGTTCTTCTGCATCTCTTTAGGTA